AGCTGTGGATGTATTTGAGAGAAATTTTTTTGAACTGAGTAATTGTGAACATGTCAATGCTTCAGTCTTGTAGCTTAAGGTGCTTACTGGACCTCAGGTTTTCAAAGCCCTTGAACAATCTCTGAGCAAATTGTCAAGATTTTGTTGCACTAACACAATACAGCAATGAAATGGAAATCTCAATTTGTGTAAAAGAACTTGGAGATAGCTGGACAATGCAAGGTCCCACATTCAGCCTGTGTGTGGTAACCAAAAACACTGGTCAGAAAAAAAGAATTGCATCCCCTTGCTCAGCAAAGCAAGATTTATCAGGGCTGAATCTGTCTCAAGATTACCACTATAGCACTTGAAAAATATACAAAATTTTTTTTAATATTATGTTTACCAGAGACTTCATGTTAATTACAATGAAATTACAAAGTAAAAGATACAGCATTCCAAAAATGCTGGTAATGACAGAGAATCTGTGTCTGCAGCCTTTGGGACCTTGCTGTTACTTGATTATTACAATTGTTTAGGTAAGCAAGAAGTCTAGAATAAAGATATATGAAAACCTGAAGGAATGAATCTTTTGATTGGTTCCGTTGATTACTGGCTGGTTCAAATGGGAACATTTGTTACCTAAACTGAATTCTGCATGGGTTTAGCCTGCTTGGTTTATATGTATTGTGCAATTAATACAGTTTTGCTTGGTCCATGTGGAATTGAATTACATTGCTTAACAAAATAATATAGATTAGTTTATTTGCATATTTCGTATTTATTTCATATGTGTATTTCATTGCCATTTTTAAAAAACAGACTAGTCAATTTTTAGAGCACTACTGTAATTCCATAAGCAGTAATTTGACGAGGTATTTATACATGTAAGTTAATTATTTGGAATAATAATTAGGAAAAAACACCCCATAGTAAAGACGCCTTCATAAAGAGATATTATTTGCTTTTTATTATTTAAAGCTGAATGGTATATTTGAGACCAGTTATCTTAGGCATTTTATATAGATTTACTGCTAAAGCTGCTGTTATTTATTCCAGCTTTCAGACTAATTTTTAGTGTTGTCTTCTGAACTGAAAAAGTAATTAAGGTATAAAATAGTTTAGGTATAAATTTAATTAATACTTCTCTATTCTGGAAATGGACTAAAATTTATGTATTATGCACTAGATTTCTTTTCAGTTTCTGTTCTTAGGGAAGGAAACTGGGAAGAGAGAAAGGATATAGGGAGGGTACTAAGGTGTAGGAAGGAAATCCTCTTCAACAAGCCTGAGTAAACTTACTGGCTAGGGGAACTGTGTGCCTGGTACATCTCTTATTGCTGAAAAGTTTTAGCTGTTTCTGTACTATACTCATACAAACCACTGGGTATCTTTTGATACTAAAGCTATTCATAGGTCATATAACTTAAGAATGTTAAGGAAGTTGTAGTTAGGCACAGACTAAGCTGAATACCACTGAATTCACTGAGTCCCATGTAAGATACGCAGATCAAAATAGCAGTTTGTACTTCTTGTGGTTGCTGTAAGAATTTTAAATCTGAAATTTGTTAATAAGTTATTGATGCCTTGAAATATTTTAAGATTGGCATCCTGTTCTGCTTATTGGGTATCAGTCACATCCTGGACCATTGTATGAACCACTGCCGTTTAGTCTGAGTTTGTGATGTTTAAATTACTGCTGAATACTTGTGTGAATAGAAACTTCTTAAAATAACAGTGGTAGTCCACCAACTCAAAGGTGGCAAGTATGGTTGGCAAACAGAATTTTTTAGTTTTTAAACCGGTTGCAGGCTGTGTTGACCAGAAAAATCTGAGACGTGTGGGTAAATGATTGGTTGTGTTCCCATGCTTTTCTCACAGGTTATGATCAACTTCCAGATAGACTAGAAGAAAAAAGCACCATCGAGTTAATTTAGAGTCTGTTATGAGTCTACAAAATGGTAGTAGAAGTGAAGCACACTCTGGAAGTAGGCAGTATGGCTTCAGGCTCTGAAGGCCTATTACAGGGTAATAAGGAGCTTTTTGCTGCAAGGTTGTGCCTCAACTAAATGGTTTGTCTCCTAAAGTAAATAAAAGGTATGCCACCCTAAATAGACAACAAATGGTTCCTTGAGACTTTGATGGAAGAATTAATTTCTTATTTTTTATGTAGCAAAGGTTTGAAACTTCTCATTTGGAATGCTCTTTATGACTCAATCTCTCTCTTATTTTTTTTTATATTTAATTGCGTTGTTCTTCAAAGACCGCCGTGGCAGTGGTGAGGGGAAGAATTGGCAAAGGGCAAGAGATATTAAACTTTAAAGGAAATTACTGTTTTTGCTGATTATCATAGCAACAAAGGAATAATGAATCCTGGTGAGGAGTCAGAAGGGTGGAGGACATTGGTGTGCACTTGCAGCTTTATTGCTGTGCTGTGCTGTGACATTGGGCAAGTCTCATTCTGAGAGTTCAGCTCTCTTATTTTCTGATTATATGTTTTCAGAAAATAGTACTTAGTTAGAACAGCCCTGGGAATCTAACTAATGCTCTCTGCTTGGGTGGGCTTTTTGTGTTCCCGAGTTCATTTTTGGTTCATGTCCATGGAAGAACTCTGCCCACAGGTGGGACATCAGAGCAGGGAATCAGCTAGACTGCCATCACTGACATCCTTGGAGGGGGAGCAGCTCTGTCAAGCCCTTGTTCTTGCCATGATTGACAGTGGCTGCTCTAATTTGTTTGGTCCCAGTCCTGTGATTTGTCCCTTTATAAAGAGCAAGTGAACTCCTGGGAGCAGAGGGGAATTCCTGTTCCCCTGGAGGAAGTGCTTAAGAAAGAAAAACCAGGGGAGGCTTTTCTTTGTCACTTTATCATGCCTGGTGTTGTTAGTGCAGTTGAAGGGGCTGTAGGAAAGGGAAGGCAAGGGGGTCAGAGGTGCTTTGGAAGTGCAGCTGGGAGCCCTCAACTCAGGTGGACGGGAAGAGATGTTGCTTTGTGGAGCAGGATGTACATCAGCCTTGCAGAACAGAGAGGATAGATGGATCATGGTTTTCCTCCACTTGGAATGTTACTCAGGTGGTGAAGAGCTTCCTGAAAAGCAGTAATAAGCAGGAGGAGAGTTGAATACAACTTTTTTTTTTTTGTCCCTCTTACACAGTTCTTCAGCTCTTCAGTTTAAAAAATTGTGGTTGTGTTTGTGTTTGTTAATTCCAAATCAGATGGAATTTGTTTCTTGATGAAGGCTGTGAGTCACTATGTTTTTGCAGGCAATCTCCCAGGATTTCAGATCACACATAAATTACTGCACAAGATGTAGGAGATGCTCAATTAGCACAAATTCATTGTTCCTTGCTAGTGCAGCCTATAAAAGGATGCTCAGCATTAATATCCATGTGGATTCAGTTGGTCAGCTGTAGTATAGACAATAATTTTAAGGTGGAGAACAAACCTGTGTAGTCCAACCTTTTTATCTTTTGCCTCTACTGGCATGAAAAGCTTTTAGGTGTTGTTTAAAAATTGCAAGGATTATTCTTCTGGATGATTTCACCAATTCTTTTGTTACATTGAACAAACAATATGTAAACAAAGTATGTTGTGCATTCTGAGTTTAAGATACCATTTGATTAAGCTTGAGTGCATAATAGCATTTTCATTTAAAAAGGGAGCAAAAATCTAGTAACAGCATTAGCAGTGGCTTCTGTATCTCATAAGAAGTCTCTTGTGCTGATGGTAAGTCAGGGAAAGAATGCAAGAAAAAGTCATTGTGTTGCTTGTATGTTGTTTGTGAAAGAGTAGAAAACAGAATTTGAAGAAATAATTGTTCCAAAGGGTTGAATAGGTGCAAGTGGTGAGTAGGAATAAGAGGTGGCATCTATTGTGATGGGAAAATACTTTAAAGAATTAGAATGAACATAAATATATGGTTGGAACTGAAGTCAAGAAGGGCTGTAACTAGTTTAATGTATACGGCTGCCATATTTCTCTACTTTGTATACAGCAGATTGCTGTGCAGAGATCTCCCAGACAGTTCAATGCTTTGGGACAATAATCTGTCCCCTTATCACTCTGATTTGTTATGTTACATTGGTGTTGGGAGCATGTGCAGTGCGTAGGGTGCCAGCATCCATCCCATGCAGTGTCTAAGGATTTACTTGCCTGTGGATGGACTGAAAAATTGAGCCCTGCAATATTGCTTGTTGATCAGCAAACAAAATGCCAGCTGGAGTAGGCATTGTATTAGCTTTGGTTAGGTATTGGTGACTGTGGAGAAAATCTTTGTATTACCACATCAAAATAAATGACCATAAAATAAGGTACACATGGGCAGAAGATGGATAATTATTATCCCTGTCTGTAAACCTGCCTTAGCTGTCCATGGTTAAGACTTGGCAAATGGTAATGGGGACCTAAGCAGCTACACTTAAGAGTCAGGTTTCTTCTCTGTCTATATGAGCCTTTGCCACCCACATAAATACTTAAAAATTGACAAGTTGATAATTCATGCCTGAATTTCCTGTTTATGCTAAATTTGTATCTCTTTATCCTTTTGATAAATAAAACAATAAATCTCTCTTCAAAGTATATTAGTAAGGGCAGGCAGTGCTCAGAATTCCAAAATTTAATAAAAAAGCATGCACTGATATTTTTATGTTGTGCTAAAAATAACATTTTATTCTTTATAAAAAATTATGCTTAAACTTGGAAAGGCACAAAACCACCACTGAACAGTAAAAAAAAAAAAAAAAAAAAAAAAGGTAGATGGTATTACTTGTACTTCTGGGGTTTTTTGTTAAATATTTGAGGTCCTCTAAAAAGACAATGGTGACAAACACGTTTCAGGTTGGACAGTTGTTTCATAATGTTTCTCACTGGTCTAATGTTAGCAGAAAGCTTTTCTGTAGCTCCTCCTTAAACATGTTTTCAGATCTGATTGGAAATCATTTTGTGCAGAGCAATTTGGCTAAAACATCTGTCTAAATGTTTCTAATGCTTCTTTTTTTTTTTTTTTTTTTTAACTGTACTAGGATGTTTTGAATAACTTGGGTTCCTGTGAGTTGGATGAAGATGACCTAATGCTTGACTTGGAGTTCCTGGAAGAACAACATCACCAGCGTTCTGGTAAGTCAGATAAATGCTGTCTGTCTTCAGTGAGGTAATGTTATTCTAGGAATAAAAAGTAAATATGTTTAGTACAGTTACTTGGAAATAAAAAGCAGTCATTTTCTTGGAAGTATTAGAGTGGTATTATTTTTTTAAAGTTATTTCTAAATGTGTTTGTAATTAATCAGAAAAATGTTGTTTACACAGCACTTGGACTTCATATAGTCAGTTATGAAATGGAAGAGATTTTTACAGCTACAGAATTCAGTACCAAGGGCAGACCCATCTGTTTTGCTAAATACTTAAAATGATTGCTGCCTACCCCAGGCGCTTAACAAAAGAACATCAGTGGAATAATTGTGATCACATTTTGCATGTGCTAGTATAATATTTTTCAAATAAAGGAGATATGACTTGAAACATGAGTGTAACTTGATGGTTTCTCTCATATTTGGTTAAAGCCTTGTTGCACTGCCTTGATTAATAGCAATAAACTATTGCTATATACTTTGTTTATTACCATTTTATAATAGAATTATGCAAGGTAAATTGTGGGACATGTGAAGAGCACTTTCCTTTGCTGGGATGTGGACAGCAGGGCCTCGTTTGTGAACAGAAGTCCTGCTAACTCAGCAAAGTTTGGAGAGTCTTCAAACAGATGTAGGATTTGTGCTTGATCCCAGGTAGAGTTCTGGGTTTGTACTTTACTTTGATGCTCTATTCTGACAGTGTGTGTTGAAGCATGAGGAATTCTCACCTTCTCTTCTACCTGCTGCTTCCTGATCCCAGTTTTTCCATCACCCAAACAGATGTCCATGTTCTCCACATTCTTGCAGACTTAATGGAAATGGGGTTTTTGAGACATGTTCTGGCTGGTGTGGACCATCTTCAGTCCTGGTCCCTTCTTATATGCAAATTTAGTAATGGTTGCAGATAAATTGCTTGAATTGTGCTCCTGTTTCATATTTTCTGTGTATGATTATTCTGTGAACATATCTGAATTATCTCGTTGATAATTCTGTTTAACCATTGTACCGTGCTTTTAAACCTGTTTGCATGTCTACTTTTAGGATAAAACAGATGTTTCATTTGCTTAGTTAGGGAGTACGGAGAGTTGCAGCAGTAATATATGCATGATTATAGTTTTCTAAATTATTGGAAGCTGAACTCCACAGAAAAGGCCCTTTCTAACATATTCTGAATATTACTATTAACTTTTTACAGAAAGTTGAATGATTGGTTAAAGAAATGTGGTTTCAGAAACAAACATTGCATTTCATAAGAAACTATGTGGGGTTCAGACTTATTTATTCCCTGGACTGGTTGGAAAGGATTGAACTGGCAGAACTGTTTTCCATAAATAAACTTCCCTGATGTGTTGCACTTGGCCTGACCTTTGTTTTCCTTTTTTTTTTTTTACAAAGCACTGAATTAACAGTGAAAGAAAAGTTATGTCCAGTATATGATGACAAAAATTTTGTAGCAGCTTCTAGAACAGCAAAAATAATAATGTCTGAACGACGTACTTGATAGAGAAGTAATTAAGATGAAGATGTGATATGACACATAATCTCCCTGCTCTTGGCTCATTATCCAGAGTAAATGAGATGCTTTTGAAGCAGAGATCTACATTGTCCTCTGAAGTATGGTGACCATTCTGTTCTGAGCAATAATGTAGAGACACACACTGCAGAATGCAAATTTTCTTTAAACACAAATGTGTTTATTTTAGTAATATTTACTCTTTGGCTTTATTTGTTTGATGGTGAATCCAGCTGGAAAAAAAATTAGGATTTCTATAGCTGTCACTCTTTTTTAAAGTCATTCGCTTGGAAGAAAGATTTGGAAGGATAGAGCCACAGTATGGGTTGACTCAATTTCACCAAATGAAGTTGATGTCTTTATTTTGTGTGAGGATCTGGCCCAAAATGGTTCATGTGATTGTCAGTCATCACCTTAATTTACACTGAGATATGAGGCAGTTTGCTTGATTTTTAGTGATTTAGCATTTGAATACCAGTGAAGTACATAAAAGCCTTGAACTAGAGACTGACATTTCAACACTTTTAACAAATTCCTTTTCTGATTCCTCTGTTAAGTTATAGCCAGCTTCCAGGATTTAAGACTTTTCAACAAAAATTCTTTTCAGTAATTCCAAGTCAATATGTTCTCTGTTTTCACTTCTGGGTTTGCTTGTTTTTTTCCAAGAAGCATCTCTATTCATACCTAAATAGAATTCCAAACTTGTTCAATTAAATTACATTATCAAATATTTTGGTGCAATTTGTTCTGCAGGCACCCAAATACATAAAATGATCATGTTAAAGACATAGAGTTAATTTAATGCAGAGCTTTACATTTTCATAAATTCATTAGATTGAAATTGATCATATTTATGGGCATGCGTATATAAGGTCTTTCAGGCAATTGGGAGGTAATATGTTTTAAAGATTTTAATTCTGCCTGCTTCAGAAACAAGAAGACAGCAGATTGCACGTGGAGGATGAGCCAGTACTGTTACTGTAGAACATATTATTTTAATGGAATTTGAATTAAACCAAATAACTGTTTAATTCTTCAAGTGGCCTGAAAAATAGATGATTTTCTGTAATTTTTGCCACTTTCAGGTTTGTTGAACTCTTTGTGAAGGCTTCTTTAAAACTATGGGCTTGAGAGTTTACCTATGGCTCGCTTCAGTAAAATTCAGTCAAGACAGCTGCAGGCTGACAGATTTGTGAGCCTCATTTAGTTAGAGATTAGACAGATGTGCTGTCTCTTCTGTAGAAGATTCAGCCCTATATTACATCAGCTTTACATATTTAATCCATTTTATTACAGTATTTATTCACCTTCCTAACAAGTTCCTCATGTTTCTCTAATAGTTGCAGGGGATCTATGGATCTGATATTGACACGTTTCATACTGAAGTCCACTGAGAGTTAATGCATGTGTTCTTAGTCTTATCAAAAAAAGGTGTTCATGACTATAAAAATACTGCTTTTTGAATGGAAACATTAAAATTGTGCTCTTCTGCAAGGCAAAGGTATCAGCAGTACTGTGACTATTTGTAGTACAGTAAAAATCCTATTGATGTTCTATGTACTGATGCTGATTGCAGCATTTATTTGGTTAAAGCCATGAGTCCTAGAGATATATTGCCATTCACCTGTCTTCCATTTGGCTTTTGATAAACAATTATGTAAGGAATTATTATGGGGAGAAATGTTCCAAGAGAAGCTCTGTTCAGTATTTTAACAAATAGATTGGAATATGAAGAGGTATAGTTGGGAAATTTTTCAGTTCTTTCTTCAGTTGTTACAGAGTGATAGCTCAGGAATAACTAGGAATAACTATTCTTTATAAGGCTTTGAAAATTTCTAATGACAAATTACATGAATGCGAGGGCTAACATCACATTTCTAACTTGAATATCAAATATTATGCCTTGGTGAGGAGGCTGTATACATCAAGCTGTATTGTTTAGACTTAACAATTCTGAAGGGTACTGCCCCAGTTAATAAACACTATTGATGAGCTGATTAATGGCAAATTGAGAAATTCTCTTAAATGCCATTCGGAGCTCCAGTTGAGATTTGTTTGTTAAGACATAATTTACAATAATTTCTGCTTTTAGCTGCTATAGTTTTAAAGAATGGTATTTGTTAATGTTAGGATAAGTCTTTGTACTGAAGCTTACAATATAATACTAATTTAACAAAATAATTGTACTGTATTGATCTGCCATTGTTTTAGTGACCATTTATGAATAGAAAATAAGATTATATTGGAAAGATTTCTGGGAGAATTCTCTATTGAGGAGCTTTCAAGAGGAGTTTCAAGCTAGCTGGTAGGAAAGGAGATGTTGCAGAAAGTGGTATGCTATGTTAATAGAGATAGAAAGGAGAAAGAGACATAGATCTGTTACCTCTTTTGTTGTTTATGGATTTTATTTATTTATTTATAACTCCAACTCATTTTTTTACTTGTGCTCTTGTTCTGCCCTCTCAGCTTTTCCCTAATGAGCTTGTTGCCCTCCAGCATCATTCTCAAGAAATGAGGTTCCTGCAAAAAAGTGCTATAAATCCTTTTGAGTACTAACAAATTTAAAAATATCCCTAACTTTTTCTCTAACCATAGAACAGAAGGTAAGGAGACACCTGCAAACCTTATGCAGATGCTTCTACTTTGGACATAGGTGTCTGTACTTTGCTGGTCTTAGCACAGCTTTAGAAGTCTGATATTCCCACATTTCTGACTTTCTCTCTGTAAATGAGTTTACTGCTTTAATTTACTACTTTTGCTTCTGTTTTAAAGGCTATACTGCTGAGACAAAGAATGTAAGACCGACATTTTATTATCCCACCTAAAACAATTGCTTTGAAATTTAATAAAATAATATTTATATGGTACTTGGTGAGTGCAGAGCACTGCTGCATACAAATTCAAAATATTAATCAATGTGATTTGCTGAGAGTTCTGCATACTGTTCTTAAGATGGAATACTTAAAATGAAGCATAATATGACATACATGATGAGTCTTCAGGGTGCCTTTTTATAATCTGAGTAAATTAGACTTTTAAAATATGCTGCAGTTTGATTTCCAGTTGTAAAATAATGAAGTCAGTGGTTTCTATAGTGGGAAATCATTGCAGGTTTATGGAAAGTGGCAGCATTAATTTAACTTCATTCATTTTCCTTTTCCCTCATGAAACACAATGTATTTGATTCCAAGTATTGATTAGTCAAATGTATGAGGAAAACCTTTACATTCAGTGATACAAGCAGTGGGGAATTTATTCAAGTGATGCACATTAATATGTGTGAGCTGTATGGTGGTGTTGTGCTATAGCCTATTGAAAACCAAACGGGTTTATGGGGTTGGTGTTGTCATTAAATCAGGAGTGAAGGTTTTTTTATGAAAGTTCACAAAAGCACAGCTATCCAAGGGCTTTGGTAATTCCTTAAGTATTTGCCATGGGTAGCATGAAACGTGTGCCCTGCATCCTCCTACAAAGAT